TGAAAATATCGATCGTACGAGATGAGCATAAGAAAAAAAAAAAAAATGGAAAATGGAAAATAAGGGTAGTTCGCGTACGGAGGTACACAAAGGGGGTGACACGCTCGCAGGGCCGTCTGTCACGGAAATGAAAAAAAATTGCGTAACGGTAGTGGAAAGGCTTTGTGACGCAACCCCGAAGCCGTCCATAAAATACAGTCTGGTAAAAGTTTAAAATGTTTGAGGAAGGGTGGTTCTCGAGTGCCCTGCCCGTATAGAGAGAGACTGGGATTTTTCGGGGTTGGCTGTTACTATACCTCGTTGGTCGGTACCGTCGGTAAGGGTTGCCTGTGTATAATATAGCTGGTATACGGGTGTAGCGATCCAACTGACGTCACTGACGCGTGCTACGTTCGTGCCCGGCACGTACGCGCTCACACTGGCATATCGAGGGATGCACTTATGCACTTGGATCTCCGAAATAGGGGTAGGTATATGCACCCCATTGGCGAGGACGGACGCAGATGCTCGCGAGAAGAAACGACCGAGGGGTTAAGGGGACGGATAGACGTGTGTCTGCCATTGTGATTTTAAATTCGTAACCCAACCCCCTTCTTCCCTTTTTTATTTTTCACCCCTTTTTCAAAATCCAACGACCAATCCCCCTTGGGTCTTGTGTGTGCTCTACCTGCGCGTTTCTTATATTTTCTTTTCTTTCTTTATTTTTTTTTTTTTAACTTTCTACGCTTATCCCATAATGCGTAACGTGTTTCTCGAGCGAATCGATCAGTGACGAATGACGGGATGATGAGAATTATAAATTTTCATTTCGTAATATAAATTTTTAGCGACGTTTATACGATCGGATACATTGAATTTTTAGGTTTTTTTTTTAAATTTTGGGATTTTCATTTTTTTTTTTTTTTTTTTTTTTTTTTTTTTTTTTTTTTTTTTTTTTGATTTGATTTTATTCCGATATATACTTTTCGTGTTAGAGCGACCGTGTCTGATATACGTATTATTCAGAGATAACCTAGTTCGATAATCTGTGAATGTATCGTTTTAATTCCAGTCTTTTCTGTACGCTTAGGAATTCACGTTCTTATCGTGAAATATGGAATTTTCTTGAAAACACGTTATACGCATTTTTGATAACGTGGACGCGTACAACTTCCATTTAAAAATAGTCAAGGTAATAGGGGTCGAGTCATATCATCCCCTTTCTTGGATTCGTTCAAAATGGCGCCCGGCAGTAACATGCAGATTGGCCAAGGTGTCGGTATAGCGCTCCGGAGACCAAGGGTGACTGTACGTTACAACCCCCAGAGCCTAGAGGGGCGGTTCGCGCATGCGAGCCAACCCTTCCTCAACCCCTAACGCGCTTTTTTATTATTCACGTTTTATCGGTCCGCCTTTTACTACGGGCCAGGTAGACCGTATTAACATAATGGCGGCATTCTAAGAAGACTTCGAGCTGCAACCATTATGGCGCACGGTATATACCTATATATGCCTTCTATGTACCCTTTATATATGCGCAACTTACCTATGCGCAATTCGTACCGATTTTCAAATTTCTAACCGTGAGATTTCGAGGCGCTAAGTGTTTTGCGTGTTAGACTATATAACCCATAGGTACATAGATATATATATATATATACAGCATATGTATACCGTTAGTATATAGTATATGCTTTGAGGTGGACCCCAAGACTGGTAGCTTTTTATCGATCGCACTATGATACGAATGTATTTGAAGCGGGATAAAATGAAAGGCATCTTTATACAGTAATTAAATATTTGTATTTTAATTGGAAATTAATAAAAGTAATTATTGAAAAATGATTTATATATCGATAGTCTTAAAAATATTGTCAATCTATCTATGACTATGCTTATCAGTCGCACCTTTAAACCTGTCCCATTGTCGCTTGACTTTTCGACGATAAGAAAGTATCATCGAATGATTAAGGGTCATTCACATCGGAGCGACATGAATATAGAATACGTACATTCTGTCTTATCAGTCGGTGCATTTTTGATCTGGATGCGTCAATACTCCTACGGTATTATCAGCATCGGTTTTATATTTTCCATATATCTCGATATCACGTAGCGCAGCACATTGCTGATAAGCAAATCGGGTTAATAGATTAGGGATTGTATCCGACGATGTTTTTTTTCCTCGCTTTATCAATGTTATAAAATTATACGCATGCTTGGACGGTGATCGATTGAGGATTGGTGAAAAATGATTTTTTTAATTTTTGAAAGGGTTGAAATTTTTTTACTTATTTTATTCAATGCATTGGCCTTGAATTTAAGGGTTGATTCGGTACGACGATAAGATTAAGCCTTGAGGCTATTCTAATTTTGCGTCGAGGGATCAGAAGGGCGCGCATTGACGGTGCAATTTACTTATTGAGAGAAGGGTCTTTCCACCCCCTTTCTATCCTGTCCTAAACAGGATTCAATTTGGCCACTACTACCCTCGGGTCCACCTTCAAAGAAGAATCGCCATCAGCGCCACTATACCTACCTATACGTACTATACCGGCGACCCTTTTTCCTTGAGAGCGACCAGCTCGGCCTTTACTATTAATCTCATATCGCTCGTTTTATCCACAACCGTCTTTCGCCCCTTCGTCAACTCGTTTATACGGAGAACCGGGTACTTTGCGATATTGGTCGATGTACGGAAAAAATTTTTGAACTTTTTTGAAATTTCCCAAAAAAATTGTCTTGCTTTTGTAAATGTAATGTAATTGCTTAATTAAGTGATAATGCTTTTGAAATGTAATTTTTTTAACTTGTATTAATTAATCGTAAATCGTCTTCACTAACGAGAACGAAATTTATCGCGGACGTTGGCTGTTTCCAAGTTCGCGACTTTGTCGAATAAGTAATGTAAAGGTCCATTATGCCGAAACGTTTCGAGGGTCTCGACCAGGTCAGCCAATCCCCTGGGGGGCCGTTAAAGTGAAATACTCTTGAATGCAAGGTGGCTGCTGCCTACTGGCTGCCGGGATCCGACCGACCCTTCCGATTTCCACCACCCAAGGGATGCAGGGGGGTCGGTTGGCTTCGCGTGTAGGTAAATCGTTGTTATCTGGACAGTGATAAACCCCGTGAATGGAGTTGGCGCTGGATGGACGTCACCATACTGGTTTGACCCGGTGCGGTTCGACCCCCTCGATATAAAAGAGAAGAGGGTGTTTTTTTTTTTTTCTTCGACAGACTCCGAAACCCATGGGAATTTTTTTTTCCAAAATTCACTCATACGTGTACTTGTTGATAAAATCCAATTTACAATTGGCGAAGGGTAAACCGCACGAGCGTCTGACGGGAATGAGAAGATTTTTTTTTTTTCATCCAGATAATTTAATTTTACGTAAGGTCCATCCGGGATCTGCGTTTCCGGTTAACGTACCACAGGGTAGTTTCGTTTGTCTCGTGTGTATAGGGGTGGGATTCCAAGAAGCAGGGGTCTTCTCGGGCATGCAAACACCACGAGATTAAAGGAACCGCTGGTCCATGCTCTCAGGGTAGTTGTGTACAGACTCCGGAGCCTTAGGCTAGAGATCATGGACCAGGAGATCCCACAAACTCGAGAGGGAGGAAATTTGTAGTATCGTATAAAAAGTTTGCAATTTTTCACGTAGCACGTTAAATCTATATACAATTAAAAAAAAAAAAAGAAAAATACAGAAAGAAAAATGAAAAAACTATTTTTCATCCGAGAGAAAATTATTTTCTCGTAAGACAATCGCAACGCTTTAGCCAACCCCCTAAGCAGGCCAGAGCCAGGAAGTAGAGGGGTTGCCGAGAGCAGCGGCCATTCTCTGATGATATTGATTAGCCGACGCCCTTAGTTAGCGCCGGCTACGCTTTCTTTTATCCATTTCTCTTACGTTACCTATTATCCGACTGTGTTTCTCTTCTCGAACTGCCATATAGTGAAGCTTAGTTCGCCTTTATGTCTCTCTTTCTTTTTCCTTCTTTCTCCTTCTCTCTCTCTCTCTCTCTCTCTCTCTCTCTCTCTTTCTCTCTCTCTATCTCCCTCTCTCTCTAAAATAATCAGCCATCTAAGTCGCGCAGATCTTTCTTTCGCGTGTACATATCTACACCCTCCTTACCTCTTGACTAAATCATTCATCGAGGAAATAATACATGAATCCTGCTACCTAGAATACCTAAATACTTGACCATTAGATCTTTTTGTGCGTTTATTCGCAAATCAAGGATTCGGTACAGTGAGACTCAAAAATAATTGTCCAACGTAGTAACGTTAACTACGGTCGACCGAACGTCACCCTGTGAATCTTTGATACATAACGAAAAATATACATAGCAAATAAGCGAAACAGTGTTAGGTATGGTTAAGTTATGGGAAAAATAAGTATATTTATTTTGAGACGTCCAGTAAACGTTACCGCGGAAACCCATAAAACTCACCCCATGACCATACTGAAGGATCCCATGGACCCCGCGTAATTAGACACTGCAGCCTGGAACAACATCCAGGGCTGGGACCATTGTTCCCGGAAATTAAGGGAAACGAGGGAAAAGCCGTGGAAGGAAAATGCATAGGCAAGGGAAAATGAAAGCATGTGCGTATATATCTATGTATGTACTACACATATATATATATATATACAAACATACGGGGTTCGCTAATTATGTGCAGTCGACGAGGGGAGAGAAGCCATTTCGCTTGGACTTTATATATGTATATATATGTACATAGGCAAGGGGCTAGGTTATTAATACGATCTGAGACCCACCCTTACCTACGTCTCAACCATCTAACCTTCTTCATATAATTTATCCAGGCAGCTTCCTCTCATTTGCTTTTCCTCATCAATAACCGTCGGCCATATTAATGCTCAGAAACACCCATCCCCCCCCCCTTTCCCCACCCTTCTCAGTTTCGTAAGTCTGTATGAATCACGCACTGTATATATGCAATGCACGTGGGTTCCTCCTCGCAATTAATTTTCTTAACTTTTTTCTGCTTTTAGGTAAAGTCTGGGTGGGCGATAACGAAGTGGCATGGCGAACGGATCACAGCTTCAGAAGAAGTTCGCCATTGAATCCTTGTAGTACGACGATAACGACGACAACGGCAGGTGGCGGCGCATTAGCGCATCCCGACCTTTCACCCCCGATAGCAGCGCCGGTTACGACACCCGAACACAGAAGCACAGCAACCCTTCAGGCGAAGCTGGAAGGTCACTCTCCTGGTGAGTGTTAAAAAACAAAAAAATGCAAAAAATAATTTTTTTCAGAAAAAGTGGTGAAATCATCAAAACAGAGGGTTAAATAGCGCTAGACGCGTATAAGGGATGAAACGTTTCCGGATAGGGTGGGAGAAACGAAATGGCGGAAAGGCTGCGGATAATCTCTTACGTGATTCGAAGCTTCCCGTCGACGCGTCTGAGTGTTGTCTGCCGTCGCGATTTCATCCCTTAGCTTTCGAAATTTCATCCCCTTTTAGCCATCTAGAAAATCAACCCCCCTACTCTTTTACACGCGTTCGCATTCACACTTAGGATTTTTCTTACAGCCTATCTGCGCTGGTAGTAGATATAGTATCTAACAGCTTCCTCTGGACCCCTCTTGTTCCGTGCGAAGAGTGGCACTCTTCTCCAGTGTCGGGATAAGAAGATCTCAGGAAGGGATGGTTCTTTAAATAATGCAATAAACGCGACGTCCTTTTACGAACAATGCCGACCCTCGTGATGAAGGTGAATTGCGGATACCTCCGGGAGTACTTTGGAACAATGTATCCCACTTACTAGTCCTGATTTTGATTTTTCAAAAATTATAAAAAAATTTTTTTTTTTTCAAAAATCGAACAATTTCACTCGTTGCATTGAAACGGTCTTTTCGTAATTTATTTCGTTTCCCTCAGTAAACACTGGACCGCGTACAAGGGTACATAAAGCAGACTAAAGGCTGCCCTTTTTTTCATTTGCTTAAATAAACATTGCTCCGATAAGAACTTCCCATCGTATCGTACGGTACCCACAGGAACAACGTTCCTCCTGTATATTAAATCCCCTTCTTCTTCACTTCGTTCTCGCTGGTGGTGCAAAAGCAGCCGGCTGGACTTGCAAGAAGCCCGCGTATACATATACATAGGGTTAGAGGTAGCGGACAGGAAGAATGGCGAATAAGAGTAAGGGGTAAGAAAAAGCGTAGAGAACACTCCTGCTGGAAGACATGTATAATGCATTGCTCGACATTTCCATGTCAAACATTGCCTTGACTCGCGGAATTTAAAAGCACTAGCCCCCTACGTATAGCAGGTAGGTTGGTAGGTAAGGTGGGTACGCGTGCATACATATGTATTTATAGAGTAGGTACTTGCCTATACTATACTATAGCTACATGTTACAGTGAAGTATAGTAAGCGGATATGAAAAGTAGCCATCTTTATTTACACCGGATATGCGCTGCTTGGTGGTAGGTTGGAGAGGTGAACAGGAGTCTCGGAGAAAAATTGTGTTATCAGATAAATTGAACGTAAATAAAAATAGGGGAGGTCATAGTTACTTATTCCTATAGAATTTAATTTTCTATTGATAAGACTCGACCATTTGACTGGCAGAGCCATTATCATTACCCAGGAGTCTTATGCGGATAGGAGGTATAGGTAGTCGCTATATACGAAACATCCTGTCCATTCTGTTTATTCGGTATATCAATAAGGAACAGGAAAGCGAACATCCCGTGGGACATACTGGACCTCCTGGACCACCTTCTGTCTGGCCGATAACAATATGTTGCTTACATCGTCCTAACCGATGGACCCTGGGCTTTTGGCGGATACTGGGAAAAAAAAAGGATATTTTGAAATATTGGCTGTGGCGATGGGAGAGGTCCTGCGGACCCTCAGAACTTTATTTTTTAGATTTTAGATCGATATTGACGGGGCAAATTTTTTTTACCGATTTTATCTTAGAGGGTGTAATAAAGATGTTTATTTTTTTATTAGGCATATTAGTGACGTTTAATTTTTTATGTGGAAATTGCGTCATCGTTATGGGTTATTATTGTTATTGACGATGAGATTTTTCTGTGGAAGGATTGTAGGGGGCGGAGAAAGGGTGGGGGAAAGTAAGGGTGGAGACTATGGGAAGCAGGAAGACGACTCTTAAAAAGTAATCTTCGAAGTTGTCGAACTGTGTAACGGAATTCTGTCCCGTGTAAATTACGCAAGGACTATAGGAAAGGACTCCCCCTATATCTTCTGGTGTCTTAACGTATCTCTCCCTCGAGGCTATTGTTCTACTATACAGTCGGGACACCCCTCGACGCCACTCTCTCCTCCGAGTATTTAAATTCCGTTTATTCCGGCAAACCCGAGTGAATTGTTTCCGCTCCCCCAAGTCGTAGATTTTCTGGAGTCGTCTATATGGCTACTATAGTCGGAGGGGTATCTCTTCGGAGCATCGGGACGGAGAGTCTTGAAAGTTCCGGACCCTGGCTATTTTTATCAAATTTTCGTCGAAAAAAAATAGAACAAATAATTTTTAAACAAAAGAAAAAATTTTTTCATACTATTTTCGTATCATTCTTATCTGTCATAATTTTTTTTTGACTGCCGACATTATTGACTGAACCGTCCGGGACGACAGCCAATAACTGCCCTCTATATCGGTATCATATGGATGTTTCATATGTAGGAGGGTGCAAGGGGGAAAAAAGGATGCGAAGGGATGCATAGGGTTGGCAAAGGGGTGGAGTTGAATTATTGCCTACATAGATTTCAAACTATTATTGCCCAGTGTAAAACACGGCGACATTTGGCGTCAAATCGATCAGGGGTTGGTTATTGCCTATCGGCCATTTTCAATATAAATATCACTGCGTCGTACATTGATGCAATAAAAATTGCCTGAAATTCCAAAGAAATTCATTAATCATACGCGTAACGTATACTCAATTTTTTTTACGTAAACTTGAACGAATGAGTACAGTATACAAACTACTAGTTTGCAAAGTTCAATTCCGTGCCAGGATTATATTCAAAGATAAACAGCAAAGTGATTCTAGTGAAATAAAGCCGGAATGCTGCGCCATCCGTGATCTCATCTTAAAGCTACGAGTTGTAATTGAATTTTGATTTACTTCCCTATAAAATTGCTTCTTCTTATGCTTGAATTATTCACGTGTATAACTTGGTTTCCGTTAGTACGTTAAAAACTTCTAATCAATAAGAACACCTGTTCGTCTTATATATATATGCTCGCATAAAATAACCTCCTTACGGGCTTGATATTAATAATTACCGAATCAATTAAGACCAAAGTCACGCATATCTATTAGCGATCCTAATGAGGACGTAAAGTACCGATTTACGGATAAAGCAGGTGCATCCTTTATTTCCGTAATTTACCCTGATACCTAAAACCATTAAATCATTTAAATATGCACGTTATAATGTAACGAAGTAGGTCAATGTCTCATTATAAAAAAATAAAATAAATATAAGCTCATAATGATTGATGGTTAAAGATCTAATTTTTGAATTAATTAAATAGCCAAAAGAGCCACGAAAAATCTTTGTTAATTAAAAATTCCATCTCGCACAGTTCAAAATTACAGTACAGCATCCGACGCCCGATCACTCGATGACAATCGATAATTAATACCCGCAGAGGTAATTTTATTAATAAAATTTTTCAAAAAAAAAAAAAAAAAAGAGCCTAACCATACTCCGCATATTAATAGGGCACCAATTACTCAAGTAATTTATAATAAGCGATTTGCCATAATTAATCGATTACGTTAGGGAAGAAGCGTGCGCGCGTGTGCATTTTCCCCGCTCCAACGCCCATCCCTCCTCACGCTCTTTTATCCCCCCCAACACACTCAACCCCTTCCGCACTCCCCACAAGAACCTTTTTTGAGATCATAATTTCAGATAATACCGACGCTCCGCGCAAATGCCGGCGTGTAGGCAAATTGAGGTGAGATTGGAGGTCAGGATTCTGCCAACCGTTACCGCACCAGGTATGTCTGCCAGTATACCGGGTTGTTCAAAAATAAATTTTACCAAGGTCACTACCGCCCAGAACACGTAATTCGAAATTACTGAAAAAATATAATATATACCTTGGAACCGTCGTGTTTTATTCGTGAATAGAATAAAAATTTGCATTTACATATTCTATCGACCCACCCTATATACATGTACGTGTATACTTGAGGTAACGAAAGTGCAGCAGGTAGCATCGACCATGAGAAAGCTTACCGATCTGCGGGTCCGGCAAGGTGAATCGACTTTCACGGTCCGGCTCCTCCGGGAACGTTAAGAAGCAGTTACTCCTGTACACGGGGTAGATGAAATCGCGAGAAGGCGCGCGTAATACCAAGGGATCACGGTGGACCGGCTAACGTGATTATTATAAAGTCAATACGTTGCTAACTCATCAGGCAACCACGCCCACTAACAGCCCGGTAATATGCACCAGACAAGGAGTCAGCTATGTTACACGGGCCTTATGTATCTACCTATACTTACCTCAGTACCAGTATCTATGGTGACTACGCTATATACGTAGATACGTGTAGTCATAGTTGGCATCCAGTTGCAGCGTATATATATATTTTGTACGTACGATATACGATAAGGTAATACCGAGGAAAAGTGAACTAAAAACACCTGAAGGTATCTTATGGGTTATGGAAGCCATTATTATAGGTAATGGGGAGAATCCACAATGCGGGTTTTCATGAAGCTTGCGTATGAAATTGCGAAAGGGTTTATTTGTCCGGTTTATCGTTGCCGGTTAATAGGTGTATTTGCTATTTACTCAAGTAAATATCGTTGCTCGCGTGGAGCGATCTGTGGATGCTGGAAGGATTAATTTTAATGGAGATTGTAGAGGAAAAAAAAATGAAAAAAGAATGTATTAATGGAATCGGGTGGTGGATATAAGGGTCGCTTGGTTTATTTAAGAGGTATTGTATTTTTATATAGAAATCAAGTGGATAAGAGCAACGTATACGCATTTGACGAAGTGGTCGGCTGTGTGTTGTTTGGGGTCAGAGGTTAAGCGACGTGATTGAGTCTTGGTTACAAGGAGCCGGCCCTATCCCCTGTCCTTTTTCCCCTCCACCGTCCTCCTGTCCTGGGGAAGGAAACCATAATGCAATTTAAGCCATAATACTTGACTTTAAATTGAAAAGATTGCCCGGGGGATGCGAGGGAGCCTGTTTGGCCCGGTTAGCT